TGCCAGTGCTGTGTTTGGCTTGTGCTGGCTCTGCCCCGATCTACCTCCTTGAAAGTCTCAGCCAATCCAATGCTTTCGTATTGGAAAGCATTGGGATTAGCTCAGATCACCACTTCTAAAGATGTCAGCCAAGCAGGCAGATCAGGGGCAAGTCAGCAGCAGCAGACTGGAATAAAGGTAAGATGCTAAATGGTGTTTTTAATACTATCGGGTCAGGAATACATGTTTGTGTTCTTGCCCTATAGTGTTCCTTTAACCCAAGTTACAGATGATCTTCTATATCTGTCATTTAAAAAAATAATATTGGCCATGATAAAATATTATGTTTCTTAGTAAATTAAAATGAATAATAACACACGTCCATATGTAGATTAAAATGGAGCTCGGAAAGATTGCCGTGCTATGCAGAGCTAACCTTGTTTTGTATGTTTGTTTGCAGGTGTTATCAGTATGACTTTTACCAATACGGTGGTGCAGACTGCAGTACTTATGAGAGGAGTGCCGGTTTTTACGGTTTACTATTTGGTGTAATTGGCGGTGCGCTCCTGCTCCTGATTGTTTTAATCTTTGCTGTATTCGTTTTCAAAAATAAGAAAAAGTCACGGTAAGTCTATATGTTCATCTCTGTATTTTCTTATGATTTTCTTTACGATATAGCAGTCAGAAGGATAGTCACACTGTTATTGGACATTATTTTCTATTATTATCTTACACTTGATATTTAAGTACTTGCATTTTTATTATTATTTTGAGCATTTACATAGCGCCAACTTATTACTCAGCACTTAACAATATTATAAAAAGGGGATATTTAACAATAAATGAGAATTACAAAATGTTACAGGAACAATAGGTTGACGAGAACCCTGCTCAAACGATTTTTAGGACGATTTTCCTTTAAAGCCGATCTGCCATTTTTCTTTTCAAATGCGTATTATTTTCAGCTTAATGTGTTTAAATTTGGAATATTTGCACCACCTCTCCTGACACAGTTACATGTTTGCTTGCATGGAGGAAGCAGAGGAGAACAATAAAGAAATACTTACCTGACACCACCTCTGTCTTTGCCACTTTGAGGGTACATTTATAAAGAGCCCATGTCTTTGCTGTACTCTCATGCATGCAACGCGGGCGTCTGTGTAGGATCCTCTGTTGATCAGTTCACATCTTAAGCTCTGGGATAAACCATCTCCACTAATCTCAGTCCATCACTACCATCCAGGTTAAATGGAACTGATATTGATAATGCAGAAATGTAAATTACATATAACCAGTTCGCTGGACAAAGGTGCAGTCTGCTGGGGAAAGCCCTTAATTTTGTCAAACTGGTCCCAAATAGATGGAGGTGGTACTCATAGACGCTTGGGAGAATAACCAGTACAATGGGATGTTAATTGCCCATTTATTCAAGCAAAAGTAACTTTCTTGTTCCATTATCAATGTTACACAATGATTTTCTTCCCTCAGGGGTAGGCAACATTCGGCACTCCAGATGTTATGGAATACATCTTTCATGATGCTCTTACAGTCATAACGCTTGCAAAGCATCATGGGTGATGTAGTCCACATTTGGAATGCTGGAGGTTACCTAGCCATGCTCTATATAAAGTGAAACACCCATGATCCTTCAAAAATGCAGACCATAGTGCCTTGCAGGAAGTAACACAGCTTAGCCTTTATTTTAAATTAAGTAGACTTGTGTACTTTTGTGTGTGTGTATTTTTACATATATATATTTATTTATTATTATTAAATTATTTATTTTGTAGTCTTTTTGAAGAGAGACGTAATTCCAAACGATGGTATTCTTTGGATGAAGAGAACTGGAATTTCAAACACACAGGTAATGGGTCATCAGTTTCCCACCGATGTTTAATCATTTGGCTGATACACAAGATGATGAGAACCCTATTAATTAAGTGGACTAGTTGAAAGTTCATGCCTAGCTCTCTTGCTATCAATTAACACTACTTTACAGAACACAAGCTAGGAGGGTATAGTAAATACAAACTTTGATATCTGACTAATTCACTGAATATATTGATGCTTGCACATCTAGACATCCCTTTGCTCATGATTTATTTCAGTATTACAGTTTACACTCACTAACACCTTTTACTCCCAATTTAGATCTCGACCCCTTGTCCTCCCTTGGGAGTTTTTCTAAGTCTGGAAGATATGACTTAGAAGGAAGTCAATCTGGCAGTAGTGATCTTTCTACTGGAGTATATCGTCCCAGATTGGATACTGTAGATACTTCACAAGAGGTATGGCAACATGAACACGACGGATTACTATATATTAATGATCAGAAGATAAACAATACTATGTGCAGTATTTCCGTACTTGCATGTTTAGGAATGAAGGACTGTCACTTTCCAAGAAGTGGTAGTTCCTTGTTTAGAACAATGTTTTATTTTCCATTCACAGAGAATGATATATATCCCTGGATGTTGGGCAAAAGTAACATTCCCATTACGTAGTTGGAAATCAGAGTAATCTGAATGTACCTTTCCTGGTTAAATAATTTGTTATTATTGTTCTTCACAAAATCATAAGGTTGAAGGAGGAGTAAGTGCATAACACGTCATCTAGTGGCTATAAGTGGGACTGCAAGGAATTAAAATATTCAATAAAATGTCTACTGCTTGTAAGACTCAATAGTAAGCTTTTTTTTTTTTTTAAAGAGACATCAGACCATGTTACATTTAATTGCTCAAGGACCACACTAGGGAAAAGGTAGCATAATTAAAGTCTGAGTTTGCCATAGCTCAAAACCATAGTTTTTTTATTGAGGACATTATGCACAAATCACTAATCAATCTAATGTGATGCATATTTTATGTGAATCACAAGTCTGTATATGTTTAACATGTATTAGATCCCTGCACAAATGCATATTAAATGATACAAAGAAATAAAATGTGTTTTAACCTGCACCAAAACTAATTGATCCGTCCAGGATATAAATGTACAGTCTTTTTACATTATTAAGTCTCTACAGGTAAATCCACCATGGATCAATTAGTTCTGGCATAGATTAAAATGTATTAGATACACTCGTTCGTCCAGCTGAGACACACTTGTGCAGAAGTCTAATGTGTATATGTATTTATATATGTGCTAAATATTATTTGATTTCACAAAAACTATGTACATTTAACAGACTTTATCCCCTCCCTTTTCCCTCAACAGTACAAAATAAAAAGACCAGAGCTGGCTCCACAAGATGACAAGGAAACATGATTTGACAACGAAATGACAGTTAATATATCGAATTTTACTGTCCTGTGTTGGTATTAACAAACTATTTGAAGCAAATGTATTTTCCCCATGTAAATGGAAAATAACAATGTAACTACGGTCTTGTCATTCATCATATGAAATGGATAAATCATATGCACTTTCATTTTATATATATATTAAGATTTATATATATAGAATAAATGTATTTATACTTATTATATTATTATTACTGTTTAATAGAGAGAATACTGGAATTTTTGACTTGGTATATTGCACTCTGAAACTATGTAATACCTCAGAATTGTCTAATTCAATAAATATAAATGCCAAGTACTTATTATAGGGAGCTGCACATAAATCATTGACACAAGTGCATAATAGCTTTCATCTGGTGGCCATATGTGGTACTGCAAGTAGGCAAATGTATTTCTCAAAGTAAGGCCACAAAAGATGGATCTAACTTATTTTAATGAATATATGAACAAATTTTATTTTTAGTTAATGTTTATGCACTTGATATGCTGCCATCATAGCTACTGAATGTATGACTATTGAGTAAAATTGCACATATATATTGTTTTTAAATATTTTTATACTAAATGAATGAAAAGAAATTATATGATGTGTAGCTTTAATGGATGATAATATACGGAAATGTTTACTACTATATTATTTATGTAATGTTTATAATGCAACGATTATACGATCTGTTTAATGGTTAAGATATGTGTAAAATATATATTTTATTTCCAGATGATAACAGCAAATACATTTTTATCAAACTATTTCAGAACATTCTATCAATGGTGTTTGGGTTTGTCTGTTTTCTCGTTTAAAATACACTGTTATGTTATATATTCTTAGTATTATACCACTAGCATCGTTATTATACAAGTCAGGTGTGACACAAATTCTATAACGGGGTTACTCACTTAAAGGGTTACCCCAAGCATCATAACTACTGCAGGCCCGGTAAGGGGACAACATTTTTCCATTGGAATTCAGTAGCAGGCAGTGTAGGTGGACAAATTAATGTCGAAGGGTGCCAGGGCACACGTGGCACCATAACCACTATACTAGGCTATAGTGGTTATGGTGTTGAAGGTTTTCCTTTAAGTAATTTTCCAGTTCAGTTTGCTGTGAAAATGGTGCTAGTGACAACTTTTGGTAATGAAAATATCTGTTAGAATTGGCAAGAGTCTGCCTGCACATTTTGTTGCACCGACTTTACATTCAATTCATCAAGCCCCAATATTAATCAAATTTAACCCCTTAAGGACACATGACGGAAATATTCCGTCATGATTCCCTTTTATTCCAGAAGTTGTGTCATTAAGGGGTTAAACCTTTGTGCTCTCTGATACAATGTCTCTCCCAGTAACGACGGAATCTGCTCAATTAATTTTTATTTACTACTATTCCACTTTCTAAAGCTCATTCTCCCTGATGAAGACTAGTAGTAATGGACAAAACACACTGAGCAGATTCTGGCACTACTGAGAGCACTTCATCAGAGAGAGCACAAAGGTGATAGGCAGCCTCCCAGAGTACAAGCAAGTAGACTCATACTGGAGGTTGACAGCCATTGAGGTCAATGGGATTTTTTTTTTAACTTATATTTATTAAACGGTTATGGACCATATATTATTATACCCCCTGCAAACACTTCCAATATTACTAAAGAATGTTGATGTTAAATCAAATTGGTTCAATCAATTGTTTGGCTTCACATAAGATCTTACATTTTACAATTCACACACAATAATCCACAAATTGCAACAATTTTCAGCAATTTGGGTATTGATTTAGCCAATTTGCATGACTGTAACAATTCATTAGCATACATATACTTGCCCTGCTTTAGTGCAAAAGCAGTAAACTGCAAACTTTCCTCCAAACAGAATTATGGGGGAACACACAAGGAGAGTTATGTGTGTCCAGGTACACCCTAATACTGGGCCAGAATTTCATCCCTGTCCCCAACACCTGTGGTTGAGTGTCAAGTGTTGTAATGGATGTATGTACCACTGCAAGTTATGATAACCATGCATGAATTTGAGGACAGCCTTTTAAACCATTTAAATAGTTGGTAGGTTAATCTCCCATGTTAGTAGTGATGACCATATGGTGTGACTAAATCTCAAGATGTATTTGCTAAAATTGTATGGATTAAAATTTTGCCTTTTTTGGGGCTAAAGAAAAAAAGCATTAGAAGAAATTATTTTTCTGATGGTAAGTAGAATTTATCAACATACAGGTATTCGTTTTATTTCTCCCCCTCACCATTATTGGGGTGTGAGGGTAGCCAGGGTTATTTCATTTTAAAAGAGAGAGGGTGGCTGGGGGACCCCCAGTTAACTAGGGAAGGAGGTGGCTATGACACTATTTGGGCGTAGGTGGACAATGGGATGTATTGTCGCCAATGGGTGGAGGCCGAGGTGACTACAGTAGGTTACCCCTTGTTCTTTTATTAAATAGTGATCCACCCCCCATAATTTATTTTTTAAGTCTTCCACCCACAGTTCCGCTCTTGTTATTTCACAGGCAGGGATTAAGTCTATCTAGCAACTGGACTGCCGTGGCTGCCCAGTCGCTAGTTTCAGATATATATTGACCCCGTAGGCTATTTTTTTTTTAATGTTTTAATGTGGTGGCTGGCAAGCAAGTGCTGCCCCATAATTAACCCTCACGCTGCCAGTAGGCAAATAGTACTTCAAATAATTATTAATTTGAATAAAAAGAAATGGTAAACAATTTGAAAATGTGCATTGTGTCAGGATGCATTTGGGTTCCAAATTTGATCAAAACCAGTGCTTTGTGAATTATCAGAATACTACACTTTATACAGGATTCACATGCGAAAGCACTGATTTTAATCCGGACACTGAATGCAGCCAGACGATTGCTGCAAATTAGCTCAGGCAGAGCGAATTCTCGTTGTAAACATTAGAATTGCCTTTGTGGACAGATTTCGGTCATATTCACTGGATATTGTCCATCCAGGCAAAATCTAGTGTTAAGTGAATAACCCTGTGTGTTTTCAAGATGCCATGTTATAGTACCAAACCTCTTATGCAACACTTCCTCCATGCAATGTCCAAGTCCATTCACAAGCATTACCAAATTCCTACCTCATCTCCCTTGTCACACTCCGAACTTTCACCTTAAAACTAATGTGCTAACAGCCCTTTCACCTGCTGACACAGCAGCTTTAACCTCTGATTCTACCAGGAGTTGAAATATGATAATTCTAACTATATATTCACCGCAGACAAACAAATGGGAGGTCTAGTAGCCTAGATCAAACATTTCCATACCCTTGTTTTCCATTAGTTACTCAATGACAACATGAAATTACAAGTGGTCATACCGTACCCTTGTCGGAATGTAAGATTGATCTTTCTCCATATAGGTCTTCAATGTAATCCAAGTAAAGCAGACTTTTGGTACTGCCTATGAGAATGCTTTGTAATCCAGAATAGGCGGACTCGGACCTATGACTTTGGATAAAAGATTCTGGCTTAACGCTTAATAAAACTTGTTTCAATGTTCTTGTTCCTGAAGAAACACCAAAAAAGCATGAAAATATTGTAACCTCTTCCTTTTTTGGTCAAGGAAAAATAAATTATTTGGCTTCAGTGGAAATCACAAAACTATGTGAAATTAAAACACAGACCCTCTAATAGCAGTGAAAAGGCAGGTAGCACAAAAACAACATTTAGTTGAACCATCTCAAAACTGGTAAAAATACTAAATTATCAAACTAAACAAAATAGTGGTGCTCTAAATAAATGTTATTTATCATATAAAAAAACAATATACAAAAATAAATATAGTGCATATCAATAAAGTATCATAGATCTTTAAATGGTAAATTGGAAATATTTATGTATACTAATTGTAACCTAAATAAACAAATATAAGGCATAACTGTATAAAGAAAATGACTGGTCAATACACCATAGTAGTATGCCGGAGCCTGCGAATTTGTAAATTTTTATACAAGGACACGTAACACGTAAACAATGCCTTCTCCTTACTAGCTTCTCCATATTGGACACCTTCATCACCGGTTTGTCCTTGGTCTGATTACAGGGATTTGTTTGGTGTGTGTTGGCATCCTGGATTACCCTTGAAAGTCTGTTTATCATTACATAGAGCCGAGGCTGGACTTACTTCTTGTAAGTGCTTGTACTATCATTGTTTCACAGTCAGAACCTATGCGATTTCTACAGCTTACTACTGCATTATCACATGTTCAGATAAGAAATTACAAGTGTTGGGGGGACGGGGCCTGCCCGCCGTGCTCACCGGTCGCATGAGGGAGAGGCTCCTGCCGAACCTGGCCTTTTTGACCGATAACTTAAGCTTATAGCCCTTATCTGAGCCAGAGGGACGCAGGACTGTGCTGAAGTGGGCACAACAGCGGGCTCTGAGACCGGGAGCTTTGGGGCCCCATGGGCCACACAAGATTTTGGAGCTTGCGGCCTTCATGTGAGAAAGGAGAGACAGCCGCCACCCTGCCTGACTGCTTGCTGGACCGCACACAGGCCCCCTACCCCTCCTCCCCCCTTTGGGCCGGGGGGGTTATCCCGGTCCCCACTGGAGGACGCTGAGGCGATCCTCACTAAGACCTGCAGGGCACACTCTGATGCTCCGAATTTAAAATGGCCACCGAACCGCATCTCCGCCACGCGGCCAAATGAGAAGCACCTCGAGCAACGCAGGCAACCAGCTAAGGGGCTTCCTGCCCAAGCCGTAAACCAGGCGACTTGACACCCCTGGAGGTGAAAAGCGGATGAGCCACACTTCCAGCTCTTGACCTTCAGCAGACCACCCACAACACCACATTAAGGCTGGGAAAGGCAAAGGCAGCTGCTGGGCAGGAAAAGAAATGAGAGGACATCACACGTCCAGCATGGGAGATAGATGAAATGCCTCATAACACATTACTCAGCCTCACAGAGACTATCACAGAGACTATTGATTACTTACCTCCTGAGGAATCTTGAGCCCAGCGGACACTCTCTATAAACAGGGCGGAGGCAGGGAAGCCACAAGCCTGGGAGATCAAGCGTGCCCCACAGCTTGCCATTTACTGCAGCCTGACGGAGCAGGACCTGAGGAACGGAGGGACTCGCATGCAGGGACACGGTGGAGTTAAATGGCTTGCTTATTTCACTCACACACTTATATTACATTATAATTGTAATAGTTGCTTTATGATTTATATATTGTAGAAACACAGTTAGATATATACCTTATCGTAATGTGGGGATCTCTAGCCCATTGACTGACATGCCCTGTAACTTAATTTAGCCTGAGATAAATCACTACTACATGTTTCAGCCTAAAACTCATGAGCAAAACTTACAATTGTATTGAACAGTCTGAAATCTTCTGTTTAGAAACATAGTTCTTGCATTAATATACCTTTCATATATATAGCATGATTAAATAAGAAAAAATGTGTTGTGCCATAATTGCATGCCATATTGTCTTAATGTCTAAGATAAGCCTGCATTCGCTGTTGTGGCACTGCAAGATTAACGGTTATCTGTTCTGACGTGCACAAGGAAAAAAAAGAAAAAAAAAAAAGAAAAAAAAAAGAAATGACAAGTGTTACAGTAGTAATTTTATTAATAACACTTAATAACCACATAACCAGACCCATAACATTTTACTGAGATTTTCACTGATAAATATAGATATATATTTATGTAGATATATATACACATATATTATGCATACATACATACATTTTATGGTCAAAAGTATGTTATTGAGTTCCTCCACATTAAACCATCAAGCTGTATCGTCAGTATCACCCGTTACTAACAGGTGTATAAATTGCAGCTCATATCACAAAATCTCCACATATAACCATTGGCAGTGCGATGGACTGGATGAAGAACTCAGTGACTTTCATTGTGTCACTGTTATAGGATGCCAACTTTGCCAAACGTCAATTTCTGCTTACTAGATTTGCCCCGGTGATTATGAAATAAAAGCGTCCAAGAAGCAGCACATAAAAATTGCATATCACCTGTAGCATCGCTCACTACATAATATTAAACTACCCCTGGAAGCAACAACAGGAGTTGTACACCTTTCTCAAAGTAACACATGCAATGCCAATCACCAGATAGAGTAATGTAAAGCACATCTCTGCTGAAATCTGGAGCAATGGATTTAAATTCTGTCGAGTTTTGAGTTGTGCTTCATTATCTGATGGTCTTATACGTGTGGCAGATACCAACCTGGATACACAGTGCCTATTGTAAAGTTTGGTGGAAAAGGGATTATAGTCTGGGACTGTTTTTCAGGGTTTGGACAAGGGCCTTTAGTTCCAGTTAAGAGTCATCTTAATGCTTTAGGATACCAAATAATTGTAGACAATTAGGTGCTTCCAACATTTTGGCAACAGTTGGGGTAAGGACATTTACTGATCAAGCATGTCTGTGCCCCAGTGCACAAAGTGAAGTCGATGAAGACGTGGTTTGATGTGAAGGAACTTTAGTGGCCAGGACAATGCCTTACTCCCAATGAACACCTTTGTGATGGACTAGAACACATCAGTATCTGACTTCACGAACGCACCCTACTCCGAGTATGCGCATGTCTTAGTTCTGAAGGTGAAAGTGTTCAAATTCAATTTGTCTGAACTAGACCAAAAATACTGAAAAAAATCCTCCTTAACACCACTTACACTGAATAATAAGTAATATCATAATGCTACACTGCCAAGACAATTTACACTCTAGTGTTAGGAATACAAACATGTACTCCTAACACTATAGTGCTGGGGTGGCTGTTTAGGTGCCTGTCACCTCTCTGTGGAGTAAAGAGGGTTTTTTTTAGCTCCATTGCCACACCTGTCTCACCACAGCAGGCCCTGCCTCCACGGCTGAGATCATCAGGCTTGATGATCTCAGACAATCTAATGCTTTCCTATAAAAAACATTAGGAAGCTAATGCACATGCGAGGTAAAAAGCTGCGCCAATTAGCATCTTCTCGTAGAGATGCATTGAATCAACATAGGTGCTGCAAACAGGTCTAGGAAGCAACTCTAGTGGTTGACACTAAAGGGTGTTACTAGGCAACAATTTAAACATTGCCTTTTCTCTGAAAATGCATTGTTTAAATTACATTTAAAAAGCCTGCAGGGACATGCTATTGCCACCAACACCACTACATTAAGCTGTTGCGGTTCTGGTGAATATAGTGTTACTTAATTAAGGAATATTTATTATAAACAAAACAATAGTCACCGTGCATACATAGAAAAACAGAAAACAAAACCACCTTATTTACCCCAACAACGGGTGAAAATAAAAAGGAGAAATTTAAAGTAACAGTATTCTCTGCCTGGGTGGGCTCCGGCAAGAAAAGATAGCAACTTTTTCAATACTAGATCTTGGCCCCACAAATGTTCTCTCACAAATTCCTACAGGCACAAAAAATGGCCTAAATTTTAAGGAAAGCCTTCCAAAAAGAATGGTGGCTGGTATAGCCAGAAAGATGGGTGAGCAAATCCATATTAATGCCTGTGGTTTTGGAATGGTATGTCCAACAAGCTCGTGTGATAAGGTGTGATGGCCTGATATTCACATACTTTTGGCCATATAGTGTAAATTGATACAGATACATATTTTAAAAAAACCATGATAAAACAGTTTTTGTTTAGAATTTTGTAATCATCTTCTTATACATAGTGCAATTATAATTAAATAAGCTCATTGTAGTGGTTATGGTTGTATGAATATATTGGTGCAGTTACAATTTCCTGTCAAGTTGTTCTGGAGTGGTTTGACAAAAATAAATCTCTCCCTGCCACCAAAAATCTTCCTTCTCCGAAGCCATATTGATAATACACACATTACACTTCTTCATTATCAAATGCGACTCCATCCAACCTGGAGGAGGGGGGTTGGTAGGCTTAATAAATTCACATCCACAGTTTGATAGATTCAAAGCTGATAATGCAGAAGTGTGAGTTCTGCACTGTCAAAGTAGATTAAGGCTATTGGTGCTGGGGAAATCCAGGACTCCTGTCGAAACCATTCAAGGACTACCGCTGAATCTCATTAAAGACTGATGAAAACAGTCAAACATTCCTTTTAAAACCAATTGAGAACCCTTGATGGAATCAGTCATTTCATATTGTGTTTTGTTGAATATATTAAAACATTCATTTTGGTATAAGCATATTCATTGTGTAGTAATCTAAATTGTAAACATAAAGTTACTTTTCATAATACATTTCCACTATTTATTCCTTGTCGTCGTCGTCGAATTGCACAACACAACTCTCTCTCCGCGATCGCTCAGCTTCAAACACAAGAAGGTGGCTTCTAAGAGTTTCATCTGGGCCGGTCTGAATGAGAGATGGATCGTCTTTCTGTTAAAAAACAATGAGAGAAACAAGCATGATTTTAATCTTACGTTAGGTTTACTGTATAATCATGATTACTAATTAATATCTAAGCATGTTTCTGCTTGTGGTTAATTCAAATTACTTACTGAATAAAACAGTCATCTTGTGAACTGAAACAACATTATTAATTTACTACCAAGGTTTTAGATACCATAATGTGCAGGGTATCAATGCGGTAGGCTATACCCCCTTATTCTCCATGTTACAATATAATGCAGAATTGCTGTATGAATAGAAATTATAGGTTTTTTTGTATAGAACAAATATGGAATGCCTTTGAGTGTTTTATTTGATGCAATGTTCTGCTGTAGAATTCAATTTCACTTAAAGGATTTAAAATGTATATATTTTCCACCCTATTTATGAATTACATAGATAATTATTGAAATAAACGTACTTAGCCATTGCTCAGGGATGTCAAAGGTCAGGGACTCTTGAGTGAAGAATTATTTTTTGCTCTTCCATTTATGTGACTAAATGTATAATCTCTTCTATGTTACCTTTTATGTGTGCTATATTAAATTATCCTCATTATCCCACACAAAATAATGCCATATAAACAGAAGAGTTTCAAATTTTGCAACACACTAGGAATAAATTCCTTTTTAAACCCCAAAATGGCAGTCAGATATTTCCTTGGATCAAGTAGCTATTACCCAGTGGTGTATCCTGGTTTTGTGCTGCCCTAGGCTGGACAAAACTCAGACGCCCCCTCCCCCGCCGCGTCACTCCCACCCAACTCTTCCCCCCGCCCCGCCTCGCCTTCTAAATACACACACACACACACATTCACTGACAGATATGCATACACTAGCTAACAGAAACACACACTCGCTAACACAGACACACACACACTAACAGACACACTCACACTCACTAACAGACACACACTCACACACACACACTAACAGACACACTCACACTCACACACTAACAGACACACACTAACAGACACACACACTTATACACTAACAGACACACACACACTAACAGACACAGACACACTAACAGACACACACTCACACACACACACTAACAGACACACTCACTAACAGACACACACTCACACACACACACTAACAGACACACTCACTAACAGACACACACTCACACACACACACTAACAGACACACTCACACACACTCACTCACACACACTAACACACACACTAACAGAAATATACACACACACACTCAAATTAACATTTATTTATTGATTTAACCCCCCCCCAGCCTCTTTACCTTAGGGAATGCTGGGGAGTGGGGGGTTCCCTCTCTCCCTGGGGGTGCAGTGGCTGCTGGGCGGGCGGCTGGCGAGGGAGCTCTTCCTCTGAGCGGCCTGCTCAGCTCCCTCGCGCGCCGCAGACGAGGCTGGGAGCCGGGTTGATGACGTCATATTCCGGCTCCCAACCTCACTCTGCGGCACGCGAGGGAGCTGAGCAGACTGCTCAGAGGAAGAGCTCCCTCGCCAGCCGCCCGCCCGCCCAGCCGGTCAGTTAGCCTCAAAGCTAACAAGGCATTTGCCCTGGACATTTGGGGGGCGGCTTTTTTTGCCGCCCCCTGGAAAATGCCGCCCAAGGCAAATGCCTTGTTTGCCTCGTGGCTAAAACGTCCCTGCTATTACCCCCTAATTAGAAATAATATCTCTGTATGTTATGTTTTTGGAAGTATTTCTCCAATTGCAGTTTAAACACCTGTATGGACTCTGATAAAAACGACCTCTTCAGGCAGAGAATTCCACATTCTTATAGTTCTTACTGTAAAAAAAAAAATTCCTTTGCCTTAGATGAAATCTCCTTTCTTCCAGCCAAAATGCGTGACCTCATGTCCTTTGTATAGCCCTGTTTATGAATAGATTTCCAGATAATGGTTTGTACTGGCCCTGAATATATTTGTATAATGTTATCATATCCACTCTGAGGTGGCGTTTTTCCAAACTAAAGAGATAAAAAAAT